ATAATAAATAAAAGAAATGTTGGCATTCTTTTAGTTAGCACTTATCCTCTTAAAAGTGGCATATGTCTTGCAATGACCAAACACAATGACTAGAACCCTCAAAAAACCAAACCCTATATTTTTCATGTGGTTCTTCCTTCTACCTAGCCATTGAGCAGCTAGTGGAGAGTGAATGGGGATTCTGTGGCTGAAGCAAAGCATTTAACTATGCAGCTTTAGCTAGACTGAGAATGATTAGGCATGCTGTAAGACATCCTAGAATAGGGGTAGGCAACCTTTTTGAGCTGGGGACTGATTCCCCCGAAGTCGTCCCTTGCAGCGGGCCCCAAGGGGGGGAATGACGGCATGTACGCTCGCGCGCACGTGCATGCGCACAACCCCTGCGGCCATGCGTGACCCCTCCCACGCGTGCTGCTGCCGCTGCCGTCGCTGCCGCTGCTGTCGCTGCTGCGGCTACATGTGCTGCCACATCCACCTCTGCGTATGTCATGGCCACCATTTTGTTCTCCAAAATGGAGGCTGTGATGCATTTGCACATGTGCAGTACTCCTGCGCATGCGCAAATGCGTAGCAGCTGCCATTTTGAAAACAAAATGGTGGGCGTGGCGTGTGTGGCTGAGCAGTGATCAAAACATGCAGCGGCGGTGGCAGGCAACGGCGGTGGCAGGGGTCCGCCTTGGCCAGAACTGGCCTGGGGGCCGTAGGTTGCCAGCCCCTGTCCTAGAGGGTCCCAAAGGATCCCATGATCTCTGTGCATCTAACTGCTACTACATTACTGGATGCTTAGCCACCACTCTGCTCCCCTCCACTGTAAATGGCTGTGTTGGGGGTTGCAGAACCTAGGAAGACATTTTTTACCAGGATGAGAGAGGAGATAAGGCCTAAGAATAGCAAGGAATGCTTCAGGATATCCTTGTGTCCCCCAGAAGTCCCCCTGGAGGGTCACATAATCTCTCTGCATTCATCTTTGTAGTCATGTGCCTTCAAGTTGTTTCTGCTTATGGCAACCCTAAAGTGAACCTATCATGGGTTTTTCTTGGCAAGGTTTGTCGATAGGAGGTTTGCAATTGCCTTCCCCTGAGGCTCAGGGCATGTGACTTGCCCAAGGTCACCTAGTGGGTTTCATGGCTGAGCAGGGAATTGAACCCTGATTTCCAGAACCATAGTCCAAAACTTAAACCACTATGCCATGCTGGCTGGCCTGCATCCATCTGCTAGCATATAATTGGATGCTTTACCACTCTGCTCCCTTGGTGGTTGTAGCATCTAAAAGGAAGTTTTTGGTGTTTTGTTTTTTGTTTTTTGTTTTTTCATGGATGAGAGAAGAGACAGGGTGTAATTCCACCTGGGCAGAGCTTAACAACCTGTCACCTGATGCAAGATTTCAATTTTTGCCTCATTGTAAATTGTTACCACGTTCCCAACTTGATTCTTCAAAGTCATTTCCTATTGTCTTTAACTGAAATGTTCATCTTGTGCCACTTTCTTAATGGGTAATTGGATTTATATCCCCCTTTTCCACCACTAGGTTTTCAAACTCATTTAAAAGACGCCAAGCACAATTCTAACTTTTTTGCTTTTTATCTGTTTCCAGTAGCTATAGGAAATAGCATAATTGTAGCTTACTCCTCCACAGTGTCTCATAATCTATCACTTTCTCCAACATTTTATTATCAATGAACCATGTACTATCATCCTTTTGGCTCCAAAGCACTGTTCCCATATAGAGTGATTTCTTCAAAGAGGTGTAGTATTATTCATTACCTTTGGCAGTTTTTTGGCCCTTAGGGCTTCAGATGCATTCTGATCACCAAGGATCAAAAGTAAGGAGAAGTTAAGCATTGTTGGGATTCAGATGTTTCTCATTGCTAGGTTTATTTATTTTATGTATATCCTGTCTTTCTCCCCACGAGGGACCCAAAGTGGCTCACAAAAATTAAAATGAAGTTTAGCTAAAATGTAAAATTAAAACAGTAAACACACACACACACACAATTAAACCTCTGTTCCATGTTTCATTGCAAACACATAGTTAAAACAGTTAAAATATATTTCAAATCACATTTTAAACATAATTAAAACATACAAAGTAAAAGTGGAGGGCACTACTTTGAATACATTTCTGCCATATGATTGAAATCAGCCAAAGTCCTGTCTAAACAAAAAAGATCTTAGGTTTCTGTAGGTTTTTAGGGCTGTGGGGCCATGTTCTAGAAGAATGTACTCATGATGTTTCGCCTGCATCTGTGGCTGGCATCTTCAGCCAGGTGAAATGTCACGAATACATTCTTCTAGAACACAGACTCACAGCCCGAAAACCCCACAAAAACCTATGGATGCCAGCCATGAAAGCCTTCAACTTCACAAAAAGATCTTAACTGCCAGCAGAGAGACCAAGGAAAGGACTAACTGGGTCTATTATGGAAGAAAGCACCAACAGCAATAGCAATAGCAAGTACATTTCTATACTGCTTATCAGTGCACTAGCACTCTGCAAGTGGTTTACAATGTGTAAGCCAATGGCCCCCAACAAGCTGAGTACTCATTTTACTGACCTATGAAAAGATGGCTGAGTGGAACCTGGAGCTCTCATACTCCTGACTCAGCCAATGAGAAGGTTATCTTGCATCCTCACCAATTGCAGTTTAAGAATAGAATTCCACCACCACCCTCTCCCCAGTGGGATGATCTTTACTCTTTTGCACACTAACACCTAAAAAGACAGGTGAGATGACACTAAGGATAGAAGTCTAGGAAGAAAGTGCCATCATTTATGTGAATCACTAGAGGAAAATTTTGCAAAAATCCACCATGATCATGCTGCACCAATGTGTCACTGGGCACATTAATGCACCATATGGGAAATTAGTTGATCATGCAATTTATTGTGCAGGGTGTCCAATGGGCCTCTGACTGGGTGGGATGTAGGGAACTGGTGGAACATCTGTCCACTTGTGTTCATGTGTACAGGATGAAACTAACAATAGTAATAACGATAGTGCGGCATGACATAGCCACAAATGTGCCATTTTGGTAGGCAGGTTCTCCCCATGAATCAGAAAACTCTTGGGGTATGGTGGTTTATCCCCTCCCCCTATTCCAAACCTAGGAAGATCGTCACATTCACTGACAGGATAAAGTTGTCTTTAATTTTAAAAGTGGGTGCTATTGCACTCAGTCACCGCCAGGCAAGTGTGACTCATCTGCAGCCCAGATCCCAGCTGCATTTATCCATCATCTTTTCAAAAATGGCAAGCTCCTGTCAGAAAGAAAAAACCAGACTGAATATAAGGGAAAATGAATTTGTACACTGGTTGTAAAAATGTAAATAAAAGTGTTAAAAGTATAAAAAAAATTAAAGTGAATGTGATAATCTTAGTTTCACCAGAGACATTAGGAGGCATAATAATACATAATTTCAATTAGAATATGGAAACCATCAAAACTCTTTATCATCCTCCACTGAGACAGGGATGGGGTGAGGACATATTGCAGGCCTCCAGATATTGTCCAACATGGTTTGGCATCCTAATAATAATAATAATAATACGTTTTATTTATATACCGCCCCTCTG